CCCCCCCCAAACGCCATACTATATCCTATATAAACCACACCATACTAATTCCTATATAAAAAGGGGAACCGTACGACCCAGGGGGGGTCTTTGTGCATCTGCGTCCCCCCTAGCCTGTGCGCTTGCGGGTGCTGTGGGGTGCTTGCGTACCACGGAGAGCATGATGAGTGCTCCCTCAGGGGCAGGCGTAAGCCTAGACCGAGCAGCTTTCCGGCAGCAGGACTGGCTGCAGCGACATTGCACAGAGAAAAGCAACAGCGAAGGTGGTGTGGAGTGGATTTGCTCTTGCGGGCAAGGATTCGGCGATGGCTCTGGGGTAGACGCGGCGACGTCTGTACAGCATGAGCTCTCGGACAAGCACAAAGCGTGAGTAGTGCGGAGGAGTGACGACTTTGGGGGTGTTGTTTGCTGTGAACGCTGCCTCTTACACCATTCTCTAGACGTCTCTAACATGAGAACCTATTTTGTGCAACCCAGCAAAAGTTGAACCCAGCAAGCAACATGCGGCGTGATTACCGTAGGCGACACAAGATACCACACCCCCTGGAAAAATGTTAAAAGCTCGACTACTGTACAGAAGTACTCCACAGCAGTAGAAAGAGTGGCGGTGCCGTAAATGGTGGCGTTAAAACCTTCTCGTCGAGGGCTTTTCCAGAAAAATGCCACCAAGATTTTGGGATGCTCTTCGTCGTGGGGTGCAGTCGCGCGGAAAAAAACGCTCCGGGGGGTGTGGTTTCTTGTGTCACCTACGGCCGCTACGCTGTTTTGTAGGGCAAGGAGGTTGATGAGCGCTGGCTACTCCTAACCCTAAGCTTGAACAGAGCGCTGTATCGACGTAGTCGATACCGGCGGCAGCAGCGGCAGCAGCGGCAGCAACGGCGGCCACAACGGCAGCTGGTGTATTGCGCGGAAAATTACGCGCAAACAATACGGAACGTTCCAGCTACCAATGCAACTGGTTGTTCGACGTCCACACTAGATCTATAGCTTGAATGCAAAGAGGTTGAGCTGAGTTGACGCTGGCCGCACCGCCCCCTCCTCTTCGACAACACAATAACGTTAGCAGTTATATCGAGGCGGTGAAGGAAGCAGCTCTGCCTATTTCACGCATCGCCAAGAAGAAGAGTGGCAAATGGATCTGCGAGTGCGTGAAAGATCTCGGGTCTGATCCCACGCGGTGGACCACAGTGCACGTGCAGCAGCACGAGGGTTCAAAGGATCACACGTGAGTACAGATGTAACGTCTTCGTAAATAAAAGAGTGCCTGCTGATGCACGACTCGCCCTTCCGAAAAGTACACTTGCATAACTATATACACGAGATTTGCAGAAGTGCTAACAGTCGCAAAACTGTTGTTCGAATCGTCAGGAGAGTCGTGAGTGCGAAGGCGAGAACCCCGACAGTGCTGAACTTTTTCTCCCGGGCGTCAGCATCATGCCCCACGCAGAGCGCAAACGAGTCAGTGGTGTCGATAGGGGCTAGTAGTGATGGGGGTGCTGGCAGTGAGGTTGAAGTGCTTTCCGGGCGAGCACCAGGCAGGCCTGAAGGTCAAGGCGCGGGCAGCGAGGTTGAGGTGCTTCCCGGCGGAGCTCTAGGCGGGCCTGTGAGTGGTGGGGCCGGCAGCAGGGTTGAGAGGCTTGCCGAGGGAACTGCAGGCGGACCTGAAGGTAGTGCGGGCAGGCTTGAGGTCGACAGCCGGGATGCACCGACGGAGATGCAGCCTGGGGAGAATGTCCAAACTCGCAACTACTGCGTGGGGCTACGTCCGGACGTCCAGGAACCTGTACTCCAGCACTACCCGACCACTCTGCATGGTGTCTCCTCCGCGACGATGTCGTGGGAAACTCGGATCGCTTCAGGGCGCGTTGCTCTTCATGCTGTGGACACGGCCATCGACGGAGTCCGGAAGCCCAGATGTTTGGGGACGGTGGGGCAAGAGGGAGAAACGTGCGACGCGTGCATGGACATCCAGTACAGGCGCGTATACAGAGGTGAGCTGACGCAGACACGGGGTATGATCACCGCAAATCATAGACAGTGACATGGAGTTTCAAAAATTGTGTCAGGGTCGAGAAACACACTCCACACAACCCCGTGCTGTCATGGTTTCCTAGCTCCGAGTTTATGCATTCCCAACAACAGCAGGCCTTCTGCATGCTTCCGTCTTCGAGCAGGTTTGGTCGCAAGAGCTAAGCTGCGTGAAACGGATACCTCGCTGAAGAGTATCCCTTCAGATCTGTTGACTCCACACCAAAAACGAGCCCGGGGGAACGAGTGGAAGAAGAAGTTCGAAGTACAGAAACTTTTTACTCTGAATCAGCTAAGGAAGTGCATGGTTTCCCACCGTAGGCTCACACTCGCCAAGAGCATCTTGATTTACTTGGCGGACAAGGACGTGAGTGGCGTTCACAGATTGATGAGTCAGGCGCGGCGAGACGGCCTCTCTCTGAACGCCATCCTGGGTAGGTTGCAGCAGGCAGTAGCTGGCACGTACAATGCCAAAGGGTACAGCGAGAACGAGTATGACTTGGCAATCCTGGCCATGCGGCTGGGGGGGCAATCGCTGCTGCACGCTTTGCACAAGGCAGCGGGATTCCCGGGGGCAACAACGGTGTACGCGAAGATACGGGAGCGCTCGGTGAGTGGTATTGAGGGCAACGGAATTTAGAATCACCCCATTGCACGTCAGTCCCAGTCCATGGCAGCGCAGTAACTTTCGGGGAGTTGCCCACATTGTAGGTACCTCATGCCCGCCGATATTTTCTCTGCAACTCGTTTTCTTTGGTTCGATATCTACAGATGAAGTTCGCCCTCTGTGCGTCGGCTGACGTTGAGTGTCTGACTGCAGCCATCACCGCCAACCTGGAGCGCTTCGTCTCGCTGTACAAAGGAGAGAAGAGAGTTATAATCCTGCAGATGGACGAGCTCGCTACGGAACAGCGTGCGAGATACGACCAAGAGGGGGATAACGTAAGTTACTTCAAGACCGCTTGAGCCAGGCGCGTGGAGGACGTTGTCCATCGGCAACAACGTCAATAATGTTGTATCACTTCGGGGAGAGCTTCGTTCCGTTACTAATAGCCGTCCTTCGTCCGTGTTGTGCGTGGATAATTCGCAGATTGTCGGTTTGTGCGTGCAGTGCACTCCCCGCAAGAACACGAAGTTCGGTGGCGTGAGCAGCGTGGAAGAAATTGCGGGCATGCTCGACAAAGGGGAGTGCCACATCGGGCATCAACACACAGTCATCTCCGGAGCTGCTCTCGGGGATCGCCCATACCACGCAGTGCCATTGCTGGCGTTTGCGGTCTGCAACGAGCCGAATCCTCTCCAGCAGCAACTCGCTTTGAGAACGGTAAGCACGACGGCATCTTCCTGCGCACTTGTCATTCGTAAATGGCGCTCGCCTCTCCCCCCGTTTCGCTTGTTCACCACAAGCTACTCTCTCGTACATAAAGTCAGGAATATGCTAACACTCTTCTCCCGGCACCGCGTCTTGGGATCATTCCCCCACATCTCCATTACACTCCCTCCATCTTGTTGCTGCAGGGAGTGTACCGTGTACTTGTCGCAGCTGTACAAATGATCGCAGCACATGTATCGCTATCGTCTTATGATGAACGCCCTTTTCTGTCCCGCCGCCCACGTTGATGTGGCAGATCCTGGACGTGTGGAACTCGAACCCCGCCTTCGGTAACACCCTCGGCCCTATCGTGCTCGTGTGTTCGGATGGGGATGCGGTGAGGCGCAAAGTGTTGCACGACCTCACCAGCGGTGGCACATCGGACGTCTTGAACGTTTTCAAGCTCATGGACAAGACAACCAGTGTAGAGGGCCTCATGCAGTGCTTTGATTTGAAGCACTGCGCGAAGCGATATCGCACGAAGGATATTTCGAAGAAGGGGGTCCGTGTGTCGGGGGGACTTGCGCTCAACCGCGACACTTATCCCGAGCTTTTTCGGGTGCACGACGGCAATCCTGAGGCCACGTACGACGCTCTGTTCAACCCGGACGACACGTGAATTCTAATGTTTCCTCCGCTGCAGCCCTGTGGTCTCTCTCCACCCTCCGTTCATTGGGTAGTTCCTGTTCGGCGCGCCGTCGAAGGTTGTGAAATTGATACAACGATCGCTTGGAACTACGTGTCCAACAACTTGAAATCTTCGTGCTGTACGTACTTCTCGGTCATTCAGGCAGAACGTGGGGCTCGGGGTGAGACTGCTTCAGAAGCAAGTGAAAGTTGCGAACGCCACCCAGGGACAGCTAGACGAGTTGGCGAAGAAGCCTGGGTTGGCAAAACTGCACGACGATTTGAAGGTGCGCACCGGCAATGCCCTACGAGACATCACTCATTCGTATCCTATTTAATCCCACGTGTATAGAGCCTTACCACGTGTGACACACCATACGTTCAGCCGGTTGCAAGCGGGTGTAGCTGTAGTACAGATTTCCCCCCTAGCATTCTCTTTCGTGCATGCAAGGTTCTTTTGGGTCGCGCGATCACTAGAAGTCGTTCTTCAGTCCCCTGCTCAATTCTTGGCATCGAAACAGGTGAAAGCGGCCATCGGAGAGAACCTTGTCGCTGTGTTGTGCGACCCTTCCAAGAGCGTGGGCCAGCTTCTGGAAGGGCTGTCGTGCGTCGCTCATTTGCTGCTCGTCCTGTTTCGCGTACATCGGACCGGGGTAATGACGGGGCAACTCTACCACGACACGCAGGCGACGATTCGCGGCATCTTCTACTGTGTGCTGAAAGTGCAGGAGCACAGCGAGGCCATGGCAACGTTTCTCTGGCAGATTGGCACTAATTTGCTTGAGAACCTTTTTGCCGTGGTGCGGACCCTGACCAACGCCAGGAACGTCGATGGAAAGGAGCTTGGGGACCGCCTTGGCGCCGCTGTCACCCTCGAAGAAATCTACTGCAAGCACCCGGGCTGGGCGAAGACGTCTCGGCGCCTGAATGACTCTTGCGATCACATGAACGTGGAGACCTGGAAAAGCGCCGGGCCCACCGACAGTTGCAACGTGCGGGTTGTGGATGTCCCTGAACAATGGAATGAGGGGCGGAGGAAGGCCACGGCCATCTTGCAGGCACACGAAGAGTACACCGACGTGACAGCTGCCACATTCGAAGGCTTTGAGAAGGAGGGCATCACCATGTTCTTCCCTTTCGGGTAAGTTCACGCAGACTCTTTTGTTGCCGTTCACTGGACTGGAAGTTTTTGTTTGGACGAATGTCGTCTGTTGTAGTTTAACATTCTCCTTCCGCCAGACAAAATGCTCGCAAGAGGATGGGCCCTGTGCCCACATGACACTGTAATTTTTCGTGGACATGAACTTCTGACTGGGCCTAGGATAGTACTCTTTTTTATCGTGTGGCCACCCTCACCTCCGTCGCCGTCTTCTTTGTTGAACAAAGTAATTGAATCGTTTACACAATTTGCGACGAACCCATTATTGTCTGTCTACCATCTCCCGCGCGTTCCTTCCAAGGCCGTTGGAAGCTATGCCCGGATTGCGCCTGTCTGACAAAAACGGCACGGATGACGACGGGGATGGTCTCGGCGAGGGACTCGACGAGGGGGCATCTCCCACGGTCGCCGAGGGGGCGCCTCCCACTGTCGCCGAGGGTGCGTCTCCCACCGTCGCTGACGGAGAGTCCGACGATGCCGTCATCCGTGAAGCGTTCGAAACGGAGGGACTACATTCAGGGTCGCCCTCGCACTCTCCCTTCCTCGAGGTTAACGGGAAAAAGGTGCGTCTCTCTGTATGTGGTCGTGTTCGCATGTTTCTTAACCTTGCTCACATTTGACTTACTCTCTTGTACCCCTCTTTTCACGCCAACTCTTGTTGTTCCCCCATGTTCCTGGTGCCCATCCCGTTTGCATCCGTCTTGGATGATAGGTCCACAAGGCATCAGCGGTGAGAGTGTACACCGGGCAGCATGCCAAAAACGCCTCCCGAGACCGCCTCATGCGAGTGCGGGCATTTACCACTGCAACAGGTGGGCCCACGGCCGCTGGCAGCCCCAACCTCGACGATTCAAGCTCTATTCTGCAGGTCGGAGCTCCTGTTGCGACGCTGTTTAGAATTCGTTCGGAACCTCGACAAGCCCCTCAGTACGGTATCGGGATCGTGATCGTAACGGAGACACCACGTGCTACCATTGAGGCGGCAGATGGGCAGGTCGTCAACGGGCAGCTAATGAAGCTGGTTGCTGAGGGTGGAACTTCGGTGTTTGAGTGGGAGGGCCGCCTGCTGCACACGGACCATACCTACAGCTGCCCTTTACCGCTTGTCATCGAGCTGGATCCAACGATGGACATGAAAAAGATGACCTACGCGTTCAGCATGGATGAGCTGACCACGACACAGCATGTGCTAGAAGAAACAGCAAGCTGCACCCTAGGGTGGGCGGCTTTACCTACAGTGGGCAAGCCAAAGAAGGGCAAACCAGCAGCTCTTCCCCTACATGGTGACCTGATTTGCACGCCAGGTGGGGCTCTAGCGGTGGGAGATGTCCCCGCAGCATCTGTCGATGGGAAGGTCGAGTGTCCACGTTGCTGCTTGAAGGTTGGCGCGAAGGCCCTGGTGCAACACATGGCCGGACACATCCTTGAGCACGAGGTACGTGTCCGCGTGCGGTGTGTTGAGTATTTTACAAGCCATTTTTGGTTTGCGTGCATGATGTCATGTGGATGTGCACGTCAACATTGATCTTGATAAGCCGATGAACATCCAATGATTCAACTCATTTCATCCAGTCTCTTTGCTTGTTACCTTTGGTTTCCTCGTCAAATGATTTGAATGCTTGTGTCTCGACGTTGCTGTTTGTCGCCAAATGAAGGACCTCCGCAAGGGTGACACATGCGGCTTTTGTGGAGGAGGCCGCTGCAAGACGTGGGTCGTGACTCCCGGCGGCAAAGCTGCACCGAAGATACACTCGACGTGTATTCTCGCGCCGAGGACGGATTCGCGAAGTACCGTCGTTGGACTAAGCCTGAAGTCGGCGGCAACACCCTCCGCTGTCACACCATGCACCAACGTGCCCCTGAAGTGCATCTTTTGCACTCCCGACCGTTGGGTGTGGAAGTACTGCATGTCGTACCACGTGCAGGAGCAGCACGGGCCAGACTTGGCGCTGAGAAAAACGGATCCCCGTGCTGTGAAATTCGTAGCCAGCTACGACGTGTGTGAGGAAGGAAAATCGAAGGTGGCGAGAAAGCCGAAGAAGGGTCCGGGTCCCAGAAATCCTGTCGCTGTTGCACGCCGCAAAACTAGACCCAAACCTTCTCGTCGCGCAGTAGAAGTAGATTCGGAGTCCAGCGAACAGGGGGAGGGCAGCGACCAAGAGGGAGGAGGGGACGGGGGGAGCAGTGAGGAAGAGGGGAAGGAGGAGGAGGAGGAGGAGGAGGAGGAGGAGGAGGAGTCGGAGGAGGAGGGTGGGGGCGAAGAGGAGGAGGAAGAGGAGCAGGAGGAGGAGCAGGAGGAAGAAAATAAAGACGAGCCGGACGTGAGCTCGAGGGGGCGTAGACGCACACCAAAACGGCGCTTTTCGGAGTTAGAAGTTTAAATGCGGTATTGTTGGAACACCCAGCACTAGTAGTACGTTCTGAGGTTCCGCCGAGCATCGGGGTTGTTGGGTCACGCGCGGAGAGTATGTAATGTGCTGTTGCCTATCTGGGTCCTCAAAGTTGTACTGAGAATTGATTCGAGGATGTGTCAACTTGGATGTGGTGTGGTTTCTTAACCAATTATTTTTTTTATGCCCCAGGGTTTTTACGTGGATTACAGACGCATACGTGGATGATTCAAGAGAAAACAAAATGGCAAAGGGAAGAAATTTTTTTTTTTTTGGGCCCCTCCCGGGGGGGGGGGGGGGGGTACGTAGGTGTGCGGAGTAACTTTTCCCGTGCACCCTTGACAGACTACCAATAAAAAGCCAGTGTCCGGGGTTCGATTCTCCCCTTGAGCATAACTTTCTTTGCGCCCGATGTATGAGGAGAAATAGTCTATGAGACTTCGCAAAGCAAGCCGATGTACCGCTTGTACCGATGCAATTCCCGGGCAAGACAGCGCTGATCACAGGGATGGCAACCCTGGGGGGACGTGTTCGTGGCTGCAAAGCTACATCGGACACGGGCATTGACTTTTGTTGAGAAGCACGATGACCATTAGACTACCAGCCAGCCGCTGACTGGTAGTCTAGTGGTCATCGTGCTTCTCAACAGTACGTACGTACGTGCCTCGTGTTTTGAACACAACGTTCCGCGAGGAAACACACACTCACGTACGTACGTGTAGTAGGCGGTGATTCGCGGTCATTGCTGTGTGCTTGAAGCGTTTCATAATCGGACGGCACAGCAGCTTACAAATCCTGGGTGTGTGTACAGCTCACCGATCTCGATGACACAAAGATCGTGTGGAAAATCGCGGACCGCTGTTGTGTAGTGTATCGCAAGGGCTACAATCTCAAGACTATCAATCAATGTAGAAGACGACGGGGGGGTCAGCGTTCGGTTGCGATTGATTTTTTTGTAGATTCGTACTGTGGAGTTAGAATTTGGAAAACCAAGATATGCAGCAGGCGTTTCCTGGATTTTTGAAGAGGAGGTATTGCGATCTCCCCCGCGCCCTAAACTTGCTAAAAGTCCACAACCTAAGAACTTGGCCTTAATTAACCCTTTGGAGTCTACAGGCCCTCTGACGGATCATTGATACACACAACACACAAGAACAAAAAATAATTTTTTCCATATTTTTTTTTATAGCGCTGAACAGACGGTCTAGTCGTATAGGGGAGGATAGGAAAGAAACCCCGAACCACACATGCAAAGGAGTTGTAGAGCACACAAGGGTAGAGCGCGCCCGCCCCACCAACACACAGCTGCAAACACACGGAGCATCCACCAGAGGTGCGCCGAGAGGTCACGAGGAGGCCTCTACGACCCGCGTGGTCTGCCCTGTCTATCTGGGCGGCGTTGTTGGTAGCGCTTGCGGTAGCGCTGCCGGCAGCGCCAGTTGC